TGTATTTTGTGTTTTTTTGGTTTTTTTTTTTTTGGTTTGCTTTTAAATATATATTTTATTGATTTTTTACAGAGAGGAAGGGAGAAGGATAGAGAGTTAGAAACATCGATGAGAGAGAAACATCAATCAGCTGCCTCCTGCACACTCCCTACTGGGTATGTGCTCACAACCAAGGTACATGCCCTTGACCGGAATCGAACCTGGGACCCTTGAGTCCGCAGGCCGACGCTCTATCCACTGAGCCAAACCGGTCAGGGCTGTATTTTGGTTTTTAACAGCCTTGGCAAGCCAGTTTTAAAGTGGCTCTTTTTTTCTTGTAAATATGGAAGAGGGAGTTAAGACTAGAGTGTCATTTTAACTGGCTTTCGTCGGAGAACTATTTTCTTTAATTCCTATACCTTAAAAAGCATCTCTTATGTGAGCTATATCAGTTAAATCATTTGTCTTCTCTTTTTTTATGTACTTAGTAGTTTTTATCATACTACTATGATCTTTTTAGTTTTCATCCTCATTTTGTGTTATTGTGTGTGTGTGTGTGTGTGTGTGTGAAAACTGTTCATTGTTTATGTTGCTGATAGCTGTCAGCAGCTTTCTTAATAAATTTGATCAGTTGGTTGATGATTGTTTCTTTCTCATGATGTAATTCTCTTTTATTTTATAGATATTGATACTAGACGAAGGGCTGCTTGTGATCTAGTACGAGGATTATGCAAGTTTTTTGAGGGACCCGTGACAGGAATCTTCTCTGGTTATGTTAATTCCATGCTGCAGGAATATGCAAAAAATCCATCTGTCAACTGGAAACACAAAGATGCAGCCATTTACCTAGTGACATCTTTGGCATCAAAAGCCCAAACACAGAAGGTGAATCTTTTCAATATAGTTTTCTTTCTAAATCAGACATGTTGGTGACCACAGAAGTAAAAAGGAAGAATATATTTCTGATGATGCATATTTCTACTCTGCTAGATAACCTATTAGTTCTGATTAGAATTCATGTGGTTTCCAAAAAGGACTTTATGTTGATGTGTTAAGCACTTAAGTTTCTTATAGACCAAAATGTTCACAGATGCCACACTTGTTCCCTTAGCTGAGACTCAGTGTTTGTTAATTTAACCCTTTGAGTGCCAACCAATATCCTAGGAACTATGCTAAAATTACCAAGGCATTTTTGCTGATTTTACAGCAGTTTAGGAAAAAAATTATGAATCGCAAGTAAATGAAGTTACATATTCAATATATTCCACAAAATCGTCATCTTCACAGCAAGAATTGACATATTTAGCAATATCATCATCACTAATAAAAGCAGACTTAGAACTGGACACTGTAGGAGCAGCGCGATAGCGCTCCCGGCACTCTAGGGGTTAAGGAAATTGCTTTTATTATCTATTAAAATAATCTTTTTAAAAAAATTTATTTTTATTGATTGCAGAGAGGAAGGAAGAGGGGGAGAGAGAGAAACATTAATGATGAGAGAGAATCATTGATTAGCTGCCTCCTGCACACCCCACACTGGGGATCAAGCCTACAACCTGGGCATGTGACCTGACCAGGAATCAAACCATGACTTCCTGGTTCATAGGTCAACGCTCAACCACTGACTTACATTGGCTGAGCTAGTCTTGTTTTGTTTTTAAGCAGTTTGTGTTTTGAAGTTTTTTTAAATATATCTTATTGATTTTTTTTTTACAGAGAGGAAGGGAGAGGGATAGAGAGTCAGAAACATCGATTAGCTGCCTCCTGCACACCCCCTACTAGGGATGTGCTCGGAACCAAGGTACATGCCCTTGACTGGAATCGAACCTGGGACTCTTCAGTCCTCAGGCCGACGCTCTATCCACTGAGCCAAACCGATCAGGGCTCATTTCTTTTTTTTTTTTTTTATCCACACCTGAGGATATCTTTCCATTGATTTTTTTTTTTTTTTCTTTTAGAGGGTGAAAGGGACGGGGATAGACAGACAGGGAGAAACATCGATGTGACAGAGACACATCAATTGGTTGCCTCCTGTATGTCTGTATGTGCCCCGACTGGGGCTGGGATCATGCCTGCAGTCGAGGTATGTGCTCTTGACCTGAATTGAACCCTGGACCCTTCTGTCCATTGGCGGCACTCTATCCACTGAGCCAAGTGGCCAGGGCTCATTTCCATTTTTTAACCTGGTTTTCTAAAGTTGTCTAAATGTCCAATGTGGTAGCTATATACAGGTATTTCATGTTATTTTACCCTGTTACAAATTTGTTTTTCAGCATGGAATTACACAAGCAAATGAACTTGTAAACTTGACTGAGTTCTTTGTGAATCACATTCTCCCTGATTTAAAATCAGCTAATGGTGAGTTTTGTAAATTATTTATACAACTTACAACACCATGCCTGCAATATTTATTTGAAATTTTTAAAAATTGTTTTGAGAGAGAAAAAAACACCAACTTGTTGTTCCACTTATTTATGCATTCATTGGTTGCTTCTTATATGTGCTTTACTGGATATTGAACCTGCAACCTTGGCATATTGGGATGACGCTCTAATCAACTGAGCTACCAAAATAAGTAACATTATGGCAAAAGTCATAATAGGGGCTTTATATCACTATAGGACTCAAAACATTGGCTCTTGTGCTTGTTGCAGGTGTTTGTTTTATTGAATAAAATCTCAAATGATCTTCCAGATTTTGCTCAGGTGAAATTAACATATTGGCTGATGTAGAAGGAAAATAGGAATAAGGAAGATTGTATCTTAGCTTTTTGTTATCCTGGTATATAGACTAGGAATTACACTTTAGTTTTTCTTCTTGTTTGAAAAATAAACTCTTAAAAATCAAAGTAAATTTAAAGTACATGAAACTAATAAATATTACAGATAATTTCTTACATTGATGAAATTATATTTATCAAGGTACATAGATATTCTTTTTTTGCAAACTTTTTGTATGGAAATTTTAAATACATTAAAAGGTAGGGAGAGTCTTGTAATGAACTTCCATGTTAATATCATCTAGTTTTAAGAATTTTTAACAATTGACTAGTATTCTCTCCCTTTTACTAATTTTCCCACCACCAGAGCAATTTGAAGTAAATCTCAGGTAAAGAAACATGCTCTTGATTCACAGTAGCTTCAATTCTGGGAAGAAGATGATATATGGTCACTAGTCATGGTCCCAATCATGTTTATTCAGTCACATAAGTAATACATGTTAATTTGTAATGAACTTAAAGGTAAAGGGGAAAATTATTTATTATCTTACCAGAATTAATAGCTACATAGTAGGTTAGTTTAGAGTTAACTAAGCTTGAATTACTTGACAGTTTGATTACCAAAACCATGTTTTAAAAATCTGATAATGTTTTCACCAATTTGGGAAAAATAGTCCTTAGCATTCTAATAACTATGATTTTCTTTTTTAAATAGTGAATGAATTTCCTGTCCTTAAAGCTGATGGTATCAAATACATTATGATTTTTAGGAATCAAGTAAGTTGCTTTTCACTTCTATTATGTACCACTTAATCCTTTGGGAGGGGGGGCAAGAATTTGTTGTAGTTACACTTTGTTTCATTTCATTAGGACATACACCATGTCTGGGTGTCTACTTTTAGTAATGGTTAAAGAGTGATCAGCAGATTCAAGTAAAGAGAAATTTTCCACCATTGACTTATGTTTTGAGATACACTTTCCTTAAAAGTCACCATTTAAAAATGTACACTTAAATGGTTTTTAGTATATTCATTCTTTTGTTCAACCACCACCACGTTCTCTTAGATGGTTAATTACCATTTTGTTTGGGAAAAGTAGGATAAGTGTTTGTTGGTTTTCCCTCTTTATCAATTTTTAGAGTAATGAGACAGTGCCTTACCAACCTCCAAAGTGACAAATGAGGGTATTTTGATGCCGTAGTTGTTCCATCTTTGGCCAGTGAATTATAGATTCCTGTGCCCTCTTGACATACACTTAGTAGCCTGTAATGGCCTCTTTCATACATGACAAAATATTCCAGGCTCTTTTGGTACATTTCCTGCTACAGATCTCAGTTAGGTGCCTCTTGAAGATGATGGGAAATGTTATTTCAAAGACCGTAATCTGCCAAAACCGGTTTGGCTCAGTGGATAGAGCGTCGGCCTGCGGACTGAAGGGTTCCAGGTTCGATTCCGGTCAAGGGCATGTACCTTGGTTGTGGGCACATCCCCAGTAGGAGATGTGCAGGAGGCAGCTGATCGATGTTTCTCTCTCATCGATGTTTCTAAGTATCTCTCTCCCTTCCTCTCTATAAAAAATCAATAAAATATATTTAAAAAAAAGAAAGAAAGACCGTAATCTAAGTGCTAGAGATACAACTAATGAATTGCCATTAGTTCTAGGGTTTTTTCACAGGAGAGCATAAGGCAATAAATAACAGTACCAATATTATTACTAAAGTAATACTGCTGAATGCAGTTTGATTTCTTTGTGGTTTTTATATGTATTTAAAAAAATACTGTCTTTAAAGCAACTTGAAATTATTCTTTGTGCATTTTTTGCCATAAACTTGATAAACAATTAGGTTCATCTCTTTGTGTGTTTTTGTTTTGGGTGGTCATGCCTCTGAAGTAGGACTGTATACAGTAAGGTACATTCAGAAAGGTGTAGCTTTCATCCCTGTTCCCTCCCTCTTCCTAGTGGTTAACCAGGTTTTTTTCCTATCGAGTTTTGGTTTGATTTATTTATTTGTTTATGTTTGTTTATTTATTGTTAATCCTCACCTGAGGATATTTTTTCCCCTCCATTGATTTTTAAAAAAATACATTTTTATTGACTTCAGAGAGAAAGGGAGAGGGAAAGAGAGAGAAACATCAATGATGAGACAATCATTGATTGGCTGCTCCTGCACGCCCACACTGGGGATCGAGCCGGCAACCCGGGCATGTGCCCTGACCAGGAATCAAACTGTGATCTGGTTCATAGGTCGACACTCAACCACTGAGCTATGCCGGCCAGGCTCCCCATTGATTTTTTTTTTTTTTTTAATATGGAACACTTCACAAATTTACGTGTCATTCCTGTGCAGGGGCCATGCTAATCTCTTTATTGTTCCAATTTTAGTATATGTGCTACTGAAGCGAGCACTCCTCATTGATTTTTAAAGCGAGTGGAAGGGAGGGAGGGAGGGAGAGAGAGAGAGAGAGAGAGAGAGAGGTGAAAGGCACCTTGATTATTGGTTGCCTCCTGCACGCATACCAACCGGGGCTGGGGATTGAGCCTGCAACAGAAGTATGACCTGAATCAAATCGGCGACCCTTCAGTCTATGGGCTGGCGCTCTAACCACTGAGCAGAACCTGCTAGGGCTTATTATTTATTTGTAAAAAATATAACCTAATACTTATCCTATGTATATTTATATTCCTTCTTTTACACAAAAGAGCATACTAAGTAAACTTTTTTCCACCTTGCATTTTTCAGTTAAAAAATCCTGGGTGTCATTCTATAATAGTATTTATAGATTTCTGTCTCTCTCTTTTTTAATACCCGTAGTATTCCATTGGGTGGTCTGCCCATGGTTTACTCATCCAGTTCCCCAATGGATAAATATTCTGTTTTTTTTCTACCTTTCACTATATTAAATAATACTTTTAATAGTCTTGTGTATATGTCACTTAGTGCTTTTGCCTTTGTAACTTTGTGATAGATTCCTGGAGTAGGATTGCTAGATTAGAGGGAAAACACACATGTAATTTTGTTAGATCTTGCCAAATTTGCCTCTATAGGGGTTGAGGTATCATGTTGCATTTCTTTATAAATTGAATGAGTGCTGATTTTCCCAGTAGAGTATGTTGTAATTTTGCCAATGTCATAGATATGAAATGGTATCTTATTGCAGTTTTAATAATGCATTTCTCACTTTGAATTTGATTGCATACCTTTTCATTTAATGGGCCATTGTAATGTATTTTCTGTGAATTATTCAGTTGTACTTTGCCCATATTTCTGATTATTGTTCTTAATTTTTAGAAAACATGTAGTTTTCTTCTTATTTTTTTTAACAAAAATTATTTCAAGCAACTCTCAAGTGCAGGGTGCTTTTATCATAACTGACAAAACATTGATCTAATTTTATATATTCTTAGATATGATCATTTTTCTTTATTCTACTGGACCAATAAACGTTAAAAGTTAGTCCAACGAGAACACAGAGACTCTGGGTCACCCCCTCAAGTCATTGACTCAGTCTTTTGGTCACAACCCTTGTTAAATTTCACCATAGCCGAAACCAGTTTGGCTCAGTGGATAGAGCGTCGGCCTGCGGACTGAAAGGTCCCAGGTTCGATTCTGGTCAAGGGCATGTACCTGAGTTGGGGGCACATCCCCAGTGTGGGGCGTGCAGGAGGCAGCTGATTGATGTTTCTAGCTCTCTATCTCTCTTCCTTCCTCTCTCTAAAAAATCAATAAAATATATTTTTTAAAAAAATAAAAAAAAAAATTTCACCACAATAGCGCCTTGAACATGTTCAAAGTCAACAAAAAAAACACTCTTAGCATTTTTCATTGATTGATTTATATATTTTCCAAATAGTTTGGACTCAGAATAAGAATTTATGGATCCTGAAGTATTTAATTTTATAACCATAAATCCCCTTTATAAAATTTTATCATTCCCCATTTTGCTGTCATGCCCAGGCTCCAGCCCATCAGTAGCATTTTGCATCAGAGGAAGGAAACAATAAAATAAATTCCATCAGTCATGCCTGTCAGCGAGCTGACAACCCCAAGAGGGGAAGACTCCAGTAACCCACTGTCCCCTCACTGGTTCTCAGTTCCTTACCCCTCTCTTTTTTAATTGAAATATAATTGATAAAAATATATCTTATAAACATAAGTTTTAGGTATACTAGTATAGCATAATGATTCCATGCTTGTATGAACAGTTGACCCTTGAACAACACTTGTTATTCTTTGGCTTTGATAATAGCTCTTCTAGCAGGTGTCAGGTGATGGATAGCTCACTGTGGGGTGTTTTTTTGTGTGTGGGTTTTTATTTTAATCCTCACCTGAGGATATGTTTCTATTGATTTTAGAGGGAGAGAGAAAGAAACATTGATTGGTTGCCTCCCATATGCACCCCAACCAGAGCCAAAGCTGAAGACTGGGCATGTGCCCTGACCAGGAATTGAACCAACTTTTTGGTGCATGGGACGACACTCCAACAAACTGAACTACACTGGTCAGGGCTGCGCATTTCCTAATTGGATTGTTTTGTGGGGGGTTTTTTGCTGTTGAGTTATATGATCCTTCTGATTCTTAGCACTTTACGTCACTTTAATTTTAGTGAGATAAAAATAAAGCGTGCAAAGTCATCTTATTCTCCTACACCTCTGCCAAATTACAGTGCGGCCATCTCGCAAATTATTTTAAATACGCAAGCAAGAATAGAAAACAACAGGGTGAGGTAAAGGTAGGTTTATAGTTATTCGTATGGAAAATAAGGTTACATGCAACCTTGTGAAGCTGTTCTATTTTAAATTCATAAATAATAATACAAGAATAAACTCTTGTTTTGTGTACTCACAATTGTAAACCTGCTTTTGCCTCAGCCTATATAATGATGCATAACCACCACAAATCTTAACTCCATGCCATAATTACTTAATGTACATATACATCTGATTTGTATTCTTCTCCCCGAGATAATTGCTGTAACGAATTCAATGTGTTTTATGCCCATTATTATAAGTGTTTGTTTATGGTTGTATACTACATATTTGTTTCCATAAAAATTCTATAGGTCCCTATAGGTTTAAAATTTTTAATTATAACTAACTAGAGGCCCGGTGCACAAAAATTTGTGCACTGGGGGGGGGGGGTACCCCAGCCCGGCCTGTGCCCTCTCGCAGTCTGGGACCCCTCGGGAGATAACGACCTGCTGGCTTAGGCCTGCTCCTGGGTGGCAGAGGGCAGGCCCAATCCCTGGGTGCAGCCCCTGGTCAGGCACAGAGCAGGGCCGATTGGGGAGTTGGGGCGCCGCCGCCTGTCATGCACAGAGCAGGGCGGATCGGGAGGTTGCGATGCCACCCCTAGTCACGCTCAGGGTAGGGCCGATTGGGGGGGGGGGACCGCCCCCTGTCACACTCAAGACAGGATTGATGGGGA